GGGGGGCTCACTTTCTGCAGAACAGAGGGTTAAACTGACAGGAAGAGGAACCTCCGACTAAAGCTGCGTATTGTTTCCACGCTCACGTTTATTTAACCCTTTCTCTGCTCACTGAACGCACTCAGCGTGGAACCTGCAGCTTCCCACGACCTCAGAGACTCTGTTCGTGCGTTTAATCCCACACTTGACTTTAGATATGTTTGGAGTAACTCTGTTCGTATCCCTTCAGATGTGGAGATATGTTTCTGCTGTGCGTGCTAACGTCACATCTTATTTAGTTATGTTATAGTTATGTTATTTAGAGAGAAGTGTCTGGATGCACGAACCCTTTAAACGTTGTTCTGTATTTGCAAAGGGCACAAAACACTCAGTTGATATCAATTTATCTACAATATGATTGACATGCTGCTTCTGGTGTCCTCCCTACCCTCTCCTCACCCACTCTGATGTATTAAAGGGAGCTAACTCTAAACCGGGAACACACATCTATTCCACTTATCTGAGACGGTCACATTCTGCAGTTTCTGCTCCGAAACACACAGAACACACTCCGTCAGTCAGCGCTGACAACACGACCGTACACTGAATCTATAGAAACCAGGCCGTCAGCACGAGGCCACAGAAAGAGCAGCTAGCACCCAGAGAACACACAGAACACACACATGCTGCTGCAGGGTGGAGGTATTAAGATCCTTTCCTGCAGGAAAGTACTGACACCCTACTTTAAAAATACTCCACTACGAGTAAAGTCATGCATTTAGATGTCGGCTAGACGTTAGGGATGCCAGCGATTATTCGTTACAGTCTCCATAATCAGATATTATTTTTAAAAATCGATTTTATTTATATATATTTTTATTATTATTTATGTTTTTCTTTGTTTTCCTGGCTTAGTTTCAACCAAAATATAGACTAATGCTAATAATAGTGATAGTATTAATAATTGTCACATGACGTGTTTGAGTTAATTTGCCTACTTAATATCGCACTTCCTACATTTTTTTTTTGAAATTGCACGTCCTGCGATGTGACTATCGCGCATGCGCACATCGCGATTATCGTCATGACACGATATATCGTGAAAAAGTATTGATCGTGCTGTAAAAAGTAGAAAGTTTCTGAAAGATAATGTAAATGTGCAGCAAAATGTTGGAGAAGTTCTTAAAAAGAAAGGAGTTTCTTGAAGAGTAAAATGTAGTTAAAGTAGACGAGACGCCTGATTCTGAGATCCTTTGCTGCAGGAAAAGCTCTGAGACCGCACGACGAAATGTATTCAAACTTCAGTTGATATATAAATGTAGTGGAGAAAAAAAACTTAAAATCAACCGTAAATCTAGCGAAGTAAAAGTATAGCAGTAAAAGTATGTAAAACACCTGAAGCGTGTACTCTCCTACAGGTCGTTCAGTGAGTCGTCGTACCTTGGATGATTTCTGCACCTGGTCTCCGATGTAGATCTTCCTGAACTGCTCGAAGAAGCTGAGCATGGCGAGCTCCAGCCGCTCGTTTCCCGCCTGAGCGAGTCGAGAGTCCGTCAGGTTCATCAGCTGCAGCACCCTGAACGTGAGGACATATCATAACCAGTCAGAAACACATTCATTTCTACCTGAATTAGCGGAACAAGTGGTTCACAATAGGGCTGCACGATTTTGGGAAAAAATCTAATTGCGATTTGTCTGACAAATATTGCGATTTGCGATATTTGTGATAGGTCAACCACTTAGAGATGTCACGCCCCTAAGTCACGTACAATTTGTTGGACCCTAGCCCTTTAAGAGAAATAAGGAACTATAAAAGCCGGCCTCATCAGATTGCAGCTTGGAGACAAAACCAGATATTTTCAGGGTATGTAACTCTCACATATTCTCGTTTTCTTACCGACAGACTAACTCTCCGTCCATGGCGTCCTGCTCGTCTGTGCTGGCGAACGACACCCGCCCCCCGATCACCGCCCCGATGATGTAAACCAACCACGTCAACCGACCTGCACAGAGGGAGCGTTAGAGAGACAATCATACACCCGGTATAATCACATCAGTCACATAGGCAGAGGTGGTAAAGTACACACATCCTTTACTCAGGTAGAAGTACACACATCCTTTACTCAGGTAGAAGTACACACATCCTTTACTCAAGTAGAAGTACACACATCCTTTACTCAAGTAGAAGTACACACATCCTTTACTCAGGTAGAAGTACACACATCCTTTACTCAAGTAGAAGTACAGATCCTTTACTCAAGAAGAAGTACAGATACTACGTGTTTAGAAATACTCTGGTAAAAGTAGAAGTACTGACTAAACTTAAATTTCTTTGCTCAAGTAAAGAAGTTTTTGGGCTTTGAAAGTTGTACTTCAGTAAAAAGTACTTTGAGACACTCTCACCCAATGCTCTGTATTCATGCTTAGTGTTTAATATGTGATCGCTAAAGCCGATTTGAGCCATTCGGAAAAGTGCTCTAATAAATCTAATAACACACCTTCAAACTAAAGTAACCAGCTTGTTTGGAAAATGTAAGAAGTAGAAAGTAGAGGTATGTGTTACAATGTAAGAAGTCAAAGTGTGTATCTCTGTGTGAGTGTGTGTGTGTGTGTGTGTGTGTGTGTGTGTGTGTGTCGTACCCTCCTGCACGGTGATATCTGCTGAGCTGGAGTTGGTGCTCTGCAGCAGTTCCTGGTAGCTCTGCGCCGCCTGGTCGAACAGCTGCACCAGCAGCGCGCACGTCTTCTCGTACTCGCAGCGCCCGATGGTGGACAGCTGGTCGAGCTGCTGCTGCACGAGCCCCGCGTCGTCCAGAGGGTCCTCCAGCCCATCTCTGGGGAGAACACACACCTTCCATTAGTGTGGGAACTAAAGGTATGTGTCTCAGGTGAGTGTTATATGTGTCAGAGGGACAGACTCTCACCTGAGGATGACGTGCACGGACTCCAGCCGCGATGTGATGTAAGCCTTGGTGACCTCAGGTGTGTAGGTCTCCAGCAGGTGAGGCTCGGTGGCTTTAACGTACGGCACGGAGGCGGCCAGACGCTGCCATAAGCTCAGCAGGTAGTGAACACTGTTGGGGGCAAACTCCCAGTGCTGGGGGCGGGGGGGGCAGGTGAGGTTAGCTTATATCCCCTGAACCGAACATTTCCATCACCTTCCATCTCTTCAATGGGTTTCTGAACACTTCTCACCTGCAGACTGGTGACGGTGAAGTTAGCGATGAGGCGGATCACCTCCGGGTAGTTCTCCACTTTGACCAGTTCCCCCAGCTGATAGTTGCTCTTCAGCCTCGCCAGCAGCCGGCAGAACTCGTGGTAGTTATTCGGGTCCGGCAAACACTGGAGCAAAATCATGGAATATTGAAAAAGTTAAATCCACTGAACAGGAACAACGATATGAATATAAATGTAAGAAGTAATAGAAAGATCAAATTGAATCACAGTTTTGATGCATAACCCTAAAAAGTTAAAATATGCAACAAATAATATAAAATATATTTCTATAAAAGTAAGTTAGAGTAAAAATGTCCAATAAAAGATTGACCACCCTCTAATAAATAAAATCTAAAGATATGTGTGTGTGACGTACCTGTGGGTTCACCAGTATCCTCTTCACTCCGTCCACCAGGTGAGAGAGGAACTTCGCTCGCTCCGCATTGTTGAAGAGAGAGCGCCGCACAGAGGCTATCTGAACTAAACAGGACAACACCTACGCGCGCACACACACACACACACACACACACACACACACACACACACACACACACACACACACACACACACACACACACACACACACACACACACACACACACACACA